TGTGTTTTTCTGGGGTTTGCTTCTGGATATAAGGGAGTAGTATGTTATGATTTGTCAACACGAAAGCTAGTGTTGTCAAGGCATGTGCTTCATGATGAGACGGTTTTTCCATTTGTGTTGCCCTCATTATCTCAAGCTGGGAATGTGAATGGTCCTTCAAAATCGAAAGTCTCTCCAGTGGTTATTCAAGTGCATGATTATAGAAGTCAAGCTCATCACACTTCTCAGGTCCCTGCTACAGTTCCATCTGGAAATCCATAAGTTGTTGAAGACAGTACTGAGCATAGTTCCCAGAATCTGCGAATGCCAAGTAACACTGCACAGGATCTCATTACTACTCCTACAGGTTCTGTCTCCTCTACTCCAACAATGTCTCAACATACAATATCACTGTTGTCTGTCCATAGTCCATCACAGTTAGAGGTACATCTTCCTATCTGTACTTCAATATCTGATACCGTGCCTCCTGAACCATCTGGCCATCCAATGGTTACACGATTGAAGTCTGGTACTATAACTCAGAAATCCTATGCTGCATTTATTGCTTCATGTCCTGAGCTTCACTCTTTAATGCTGGATGCTAATCACACATTTAGTGGAGGTTTTTCTTTTGTTGCTTCTATTACTGATTCAAATGAGCCATCTAGTTTTAGAAAAGCATCTGTTATACCTCAATGGCAATTTGCAATGCAAGAGGAGTATAATGCTCTTAAATCTCAAGGAACTTGGCGATTAGTACCTCCTCCTCATGACAGATCGATCATTGGCAGTAAATGGGTCTATAAACTCAAGAAAAATCTTGATGGCAGCGTGTCTCGGTACAAAGCTCGCCTTGTAGCTCAAGGTTTTTCTCAAGAACAAGGTATTGACTACTCAGAAACCTTCAGTCCAGTGGTGTGACACACAACTGTGAGGCTCATTTTGTCCTTGGCAGCAGTTCACAAATGGGAATTAAGGCAGTTAGACATCAAAAATGCTTTTTTACATGGGGAATTGCAAGAGGAGGTTTATATGAAACAACCTCAGGGCTTTGTTGATCCATCTCATCCGAATTATGTTTGTCAATTAATCAAGTCCCTGTATGGTCTCAAACAAGCACCAAGGGCCTGGAACTCCAAATTTACTAGTTATCTGCCAACGTTGGGATTCAGTGCATCATCTTCTGACATTAGTTTATTTGTGAAAATTGATGGGACTGATGTACTTGTTTTGCTATTATATGTGGATGATATCATCCTTACTGGATCCAATGGTACCAAACTCAATGCTGTGATTCAAGATTTGGCAGGAGTGTTTGATTTAAAGGACATGGGCAGACTTACATATTTTCTGGGCTTACAGATTCATTACAAAGCTAATGGTGACATATTTGTTAATCAATCCAAGTATGTCAAGGATCTCATTCATAAAGCTGGTATGAAGTCTTGTAAACCTGCCACTACACCATGTAAACCTCACTGTCAGATGTTACTCACTGAGGGTACACTGTTGAAAGATGCTACATTGTATAGGAGCTTGGTTGGATCATTACAATACTTAACATTTACTCGACCAGATATAGCATTTGCTGTCAACTCTGTGTGTCAATTCATGACAGAACCAACGGATGTTCATTTCAATTCTGTTAAGCGGATTTTGAGGTATCTTCAAGGAACTTCAGAGTGTGGCATTACATATACATCTGATACTGCTATTAAGTTGACTGCATACTCAGACTCGAATTGGGCTGCTGATTTGAATACAAGAAGGTCAGTGACTGGATATGTTGTCTATCTCGGTAATAACCCTATATCCTGGCAGTCCAAGAAACAAACCTCAGTATCTCGGAGTTCCACAGAAGCTGAGTACAAAGCACTGGCACATACAGCTGCTGATGTGGCCTGGATCAGGTTGTTATTTAAAGATATCGGTGTTGAGTTACCTGAGCCACCAACCATTTACTGTGATAACATGTCTGCTATTGCTTTAAGTGCCAATCCGGTGTTTCATTCTCGCATTAAGCATCTAGATACGGATTATCACTTCATTCGGAAAAGAGTTCACAAGGGAGACTTGTTAGTTCAATATCTGTCCACTGATGACCAAACTGCTGATGTGTTAACCAAAGGCCTTCACAGTCCTTCCTTTACTCGGCATTGCTGAAGGAATATTTGTGAAAAACATGTTCATTTAAGCAACATCAATAGCATGCAATTAACAATTAAAGGCGGAATCATGCTTGTATGCACTTAAAACAAAACATTTACCCATGAAATTCAAAGCCTAGTAGATAGGTGAACCAAGACTCAACTCAAAACAAAGTGAGTTGAGAAATCAATACCTTTGTAGATTCCTCTTTGCATAAGCAAAGGCTAATCACCCAAAGAGAGGGCCTTCATTCCTTGCATCTTAGATCCATGGATTTGGATGGATGAAAAGGTTTCTCCAAGTTCCCAAAATTGAGAACCTCTAATGATTCATCACCAAGGCATAATGAAGAAGAAATGAGTGACCTTGGAGGAGTTTGATTGCTAGATGATCCCTCCCAGGTGGCCGAAATTTTTGAGAGAAAGGAGAGCTTGTGTTCTCATCCTTTCCCCAAAAATAACCCTTAGTAAATTTTAGGCTATAAAGTCTTTTATATAGTCCCTTTAAATAAGTGACCTAATGGACCAAAAGCCCTATTCTTTTACACATGGCCGGCCTATAGGTTTATTGGGCTTTCAAGCCCTTTGTTTTATTCAAGTTGTCATACATCTTGAGTTAATGGGCTTGACATTCAAATCCCATTGGGCCTTACGGCCCAAAACTAACCCGAGGTCTTTAACGAACTTATTCGTTTGATTAATTAACATATTAATTAATCCTAGCCTTAGATAAATAATTAAACCATTTAATTATTCTTACTCATCTCCGTTGTTTCTTCAAACTCTACCTTACTCGGTGAACGATCCATTAGGTTCCTTTTAGCGAGGCAGTGGGCGATTAAAACTCTTTCTAATCGATTGTGAATTGAAACTTACTTTCAATTCTCCCGTTAGTGATAATACACTTTTAGGGCTTCCACAAACCATGGTTGACGCCTAACAGCATGTCATGGTTACCCAAGCTAATCAGAAGAGGTGGAGAACCTATTCAGTTTAGGATTACAAATGCAATACGGTCTTTCTCTAATACAATACTCTTGACCACATTGTTTGGTTTGATAGTTTATTCATGTCTACTATCCAATGTGAATCTTGTACTTATATGATTACCTTGAATGTGATCTGGAACGCATTCCAACATCTCATTCATACTCTGGCCAGAGATTCTAAATCATATCATAGAGTATTCTCCCTCAAACAGTTTGAAGGTTAGAGATCCCTTGTTGCGCATTCACTTGCCTCCATAGCTAAGTGGCTTAACCCCAACGATGCCATGGACACCCTCATGATGGAGTGACTTTGACATAATCAAAGATTAAGGACCTAACCACAAGACAACTGTGATGCCTCAGGTCAAAAGACTAATTTGCATTATCCCAACCATGAGTTCTCATGTGACATGAATATGAAAACTCTTCGTTGATCGTGTTCAGTGAACTCATTCTCTATTGAGCACCTACGTACTTGTCTTGATGTCACACACACCAATGAATCGAGACTAGTCACTCTCCCTGAGAGAAGACATAGCACGTACTGATCTTAACGGACTGTTAATGCCCAATTGACAATCCTATGATCAGGAACGTTTAGGATGTGTCAACGAAAGAATGGTCTCATGAATCTAACTTCTTTAGATCGTATTCTTCCAATCACATATTCCTTGGACTTATCGTTTAAGCATATAACATTTATATGAGATGGCTCAAACAATAATGTTTGCCCTTAATATTAAACTAGATTAGTTTAACATGTGAAATGTCCATAAAGTATCATCATATGATTGGTTTTAGGGCACATTTCCAACAACAAGGACCAATTGTATGTGGTGTATGTTCTATCCAAGGACACCCTTCAGAAAAGTGCCCTCAATTGATTGAGAAAGGGGGATGGGAGAGTGCAAATGCCATTGGATTTCCAAGCCAAAATCAGCCAAGGAATGATCCATATTCCAACACATACAATCCGAGTTGGAGAGACCATCCAAACTTCAAGTGGAGGGAGCCTCAACAACCATAACAACAAGGAGGCTTTAGGCAACAACCCCCGGGGTTCTACACCAAGCCATACAGCTCTAATCCAAACCAAACCCAATCTGCCCAAAACAATCAAGGTACGTCTTTGGACAATGATACACTTCTTAAGTTACTTACCAATTTGTCTCAGGGGCAAGAGAATCAAAACAAAGCCATGCAAAACCAAGAAAAAAGGATGGACCACTTAGAGAAGCAAATTGGGCAAATTGCGGAATTTGTAGGGCAATTCCGAGACCAAGGCAAGCTCCCGAGCTCAACCATTGTCAATCCAAAGGGAAGGTTCGAATTTGCCAAAGCAATCACCTTGAGAAGTGGAAAAGAAGTTGGCACTACATCCAACCCATCCAAAACAGGTCCTAATGAAGAGGGGAAGCTGCAATTGGGAAAGGATGAGGCAAGCAAGGCCATGGCAAGGGTAGAAACACTCTTGCCGCAACTACCTAGGGACCCTAATGCATCCAATTCGGCCACTAGAGGTAAGTTGGGTTCAAATTTGATTAATTCTAACCCCGTTCCACCCAATGTTCCTTTTCCTCACAGGTTTTTGCAAGCAAAGAAGGAGGAGCATGAGAAAGACATTCTCAATCCATGCATATCTCTAAATGCTTCTGTACTAAAGCTAGGCTTGTGACGTTCTGACAAATCTAAAACAAGTCCTTGAACTTCTTCCCTTGCATGTTACAAAATAAAATAAGGTAAAATAAGACGAGGGTTATTTGCTTCAACTTCAACTGCTGCAGCCACTAGTTCCGTGAGCCAGAGTTTGCTTAGACTTCAGTTTTGTTTTACAGGGCTATTACACTTTTGTTCTCTATTACACTTTCCCTAGTCTACCCTTATTTCTCTGTTCATTGAACCTATACCTAATTAATGCATTGTATAATGTATGTTGTACTCTTGACACATTCAAAGCATGCAATTTCTTAGATGTGGGATATGCATATAAATTCTCCTTTACTATGAACATGCATTTAATATGCAATTTGATTGCGAATGTACTTACAGTTTTGGTCCTTAATACGTGTTTTACATCTTCGTGATCCCACAATCTACAACGCTTTCCAAGGATGTCTGGGGATTTTTCACGTACAATTTCCTTTGCCAGTGTCACGAATCAAACCATGCATCATCAGATTGCCTTCTGTATCAACAGTTACAAGGCATTGGTCATGCAGTTCCCTAATTCCTATTGTTGTATTACAGTCATGTTGATCCAGTATTTTCATGACATAGTCCTTGTTCATTCCAATAAAGAAACAGGATATACCAAGGAACATAGATTTCACATCGCCATCAATTAGCCCATCATTACTTATCTTAAACCTTTATTGAATTGCTGAACAAGGCTGCGATCTTTTCCATTTACCCAATGCACTTTTCCATTCACTTATGCTTTTTGCACGTAGATAAGTACCTAAAACTTGATGTGCGAGTGGCAAACCCCCACAGTATTCAACAACTTCCTTTGAGACTTGAACATATTCTTCATTAGGATAATTCTTACTAAAGGCATGCCAACTAAGGAGCTAAAGAGATTCTTCTTTATTCATTGCTGGTAGATGACATATCTTATCCAGTTTTAGTGCCTCTAGCAAATGTTCATTTCTTGTTGTTATGACAATTCTACTTCCTTGACCAAACGAGTCACGTTCTATAGCTAATGCATCTAACTGGTCCACGCTGTCTACATCATCAATTATGACAAGACCCTTTAGGTTGCCAAGTCTTCTTTTTATATCCTCAGTCCCTTCATCAGCTCTACTAACCTTTATGTTTCCTGATCTCAATACATCATAAAGAAGTGTGTTTTGCGAATCAACCAGTTTCTTATCTTTTCTCACATTAGCAAGAAAACTAGCACATTGAAACATACCCTGATATTGGTTGAAAATGGATTTGGCAACCGTCGTTTTACCCAGTCCGCCCATACCCCAAATTCCAATTATGCGAATATCATATGATCCTTCAACATCCAAATAGTTACCAATTTCTTGCACGCGAGAATCTATTCCAACTGGGTTTGGGGCTATGGCTAAGTATGTGTTCTTCAGTTTCCTAGTGATCTCACCAACAATTTTCCTGACAAACCTTCCTTTATACCTGGTCGTTAAAATTCAAAATAAAAGAAAAGACTAATATCTTTAATTGTGGTTTGTAGAACAAAATTGTACAAGACAACTCTCCAAAAATATCTAAAAGAGAGAATCACTGAGAGATAAAAGTCTCTCTGTGTGCTGCTTGAAAGCAGAAATCGTGGATGAGTGTGAGAAGTGAGCAGAAAACACCAATAGATTGTGCAACGAAAAATGAATGAAGTTAGGACTCTAGTGAAAGAGCATGACCTGTTGAACTTAATGAGGACCAAGTGAGTGTTAGAAGAGAACACCACGAGGAGAGTGTGCAAAAGATCAAACCATCACAAAGAAGTGGAGGAAAGCCCTCTCTTGCGAAGAGTGATCAGAACTTGTAAACGAAACAGTTCCGAGTCACAAAGATCAAAACGCAGGGAGGGACTACTGGAATCAAAGATGATCAAGTAAGATCTCCATGAGAATAAGTCCCCTCACAAGGATTTCGAAGTAAGATCCGACACGGGACTACTTGAGGAGAAGATGATCAAGGAGAAAGGCAAGCAAAGATCACACTTGTACATAGAGAGGGAGGTCTCTCAAATATGCCACAACAATTACTTTTTCAAGTAAAGAATGTAAATGAAATGTTCGTTTGCTAAATGCCTTCGGATATTGTTCTATTCTTGTATTCCTACCTTGTCCTACTATTTGTCATTTGAAAATATTGAAAAATGTGTGAGAGACAAAGGCCTAATCTTCAAAAGCCTAATCATGCATTCTTCACACTACACAACAATGGTATAGGGGAGATAAAACCTCAACCTATCTAAATTCTAAAGCTCAACACATCATTACCAAATTCTTTTTTTTTTTTTTTGTTTTTTGGGAGAAAAGATTTGAATATATAGTGACGCAGGTGCACTACGTTAATCGATGTGATTTAGCTCGATCTGAGAACACTGGTAGTAAGATCAAGCATTGATGTATTCTGATATCGGAGTTTTTAAGCTTTGCATTTAAATGCATAAAATCAAAGAATATTAGCCTTTACTTGAAATCAATTTACAGTTTATCGACATTTTGTAAACAGAGATTGGCAATTATTGAATTTTGAATGTCTATGTTTGTATTGTGTGAAATTCTATGAAACCAATTACAAGGGCTCATATAAATGAGCAAGGAAAAGAAACGGAAGGAGCCGAAAAACAAGGAAAGCAAAACATAAAAAAAGAAAAAACAAAGCATGAAACATGGAAGCATAAAACATGGAAGGAAACATGGAAAAGTAAACATGGAAGGAAACATGGAAAAGTAAAAGTATGCTTTCTTCCAATACTCCCCCTTAAGCTGGATCAAGGGGATTAATTGATCCAAGCTTGAGCAAAAGACGTTGAAAATCAGCAGAGGGTAATCCTTTTGTGAAAATATCTGCAAGTTGATCATGACTGCGCGTGTAGTGAGTGTCGATCACCTTGGACTGAACTTGATTTCTGACGTAGTGACAATCAACTTCAATATGTTTAGTTCGCTCATGGAATACAGGATTCGATGCAATGTGCATCGCGGCCTGATTATCACAGTGTAGGGACATGGGTTGTTGATGAGGAAAACCTAAAGTCAACAGAAGGCTTTTGAGCCAAATAAGTTCACAAGCAGTGGACGCCATAGCACGATACTCTGCCTCTGCACTAGAGCGTGCAACAACACTTTGTTTCTTGCTTTTCCAGGTAACTAGGTTGCCTCCCACAAACGTACAAAACCCAGTGGTAGACTTGCGATCGAGAGAATTGCCTGCCCAGTCAGCATCGGTATAGCCTGAGATCTGAGTGTGACTATTGTTGCGCATAAGAATTCCTCTACCAATGGAACCCTTAAGATAACGTAGCACACGATGAACAATCTTCAAATGATCCATGCTTGGAGAGTGCATAAACTGGCTAACAATGCTGACAGCATATGATATATCAGGACGTGTGATAGTCAGATAAATGAGTTTGCCAACCATTCTTTGATAGTAACTTAAATTGGGAACTGGATCACCGTGAGTTTTTAGCTTCAAGTTGCTATCCAAGGGGGTACGAGCAGGCTTGCAATCTGTCATTTTTGCTTCGTGAAGAAGATCCATGACATACTTGCGTTGGTTGAGGAAGAAACCCTTGTGAGAGTGTGCCATCTCGATGCCCAGAAAGTATTTGAGAGTGCCAAGATCCTTGATAGCAAACTTGTTGTTGAGATACTGTTTAAGAGCATTAATCTCTGACATATTATCACCTGTCACAATTAGATCATCAACATAAATGAGCACAACTAGTTTACCCACTAAGCTGGAACGAACAAATAGGGAAGAATCCGCAATACTTCGACAAAAACCAACCATTTCCAGAACATGACTGAGCTTGGCATACCATGCATGTGGACTTTGCTTGAGACCATAAATGGATTTATGGAGTTTGCACACCATTTCTGGATTGTTTGATTGAGGATGACCTGGGGGTAGCTTCATGTAAACCTCTTCTTCAAGTTCACCATGCAGGAAAGCATTTTTAACATCCATTTGAAAGAGAGGCCATGCATTGTTAATTGCAACCGACAACAATACTCTAACAGTGTTCATTTTTGCCACCGGAGCAAATGTCTCTTTATAATCGACGCCATAGATTTGTGTAAAACCTTGAGCAACCAAGCGAGCCTTATTCCTTTCGATTGTGCCATCTGAATGAAACTTAGTTTTGTACACCCAACGACTCCCCACTGCCTTCTTTCCTTTTGGAAGTTTCACTATAGTCCATGTGTTATTTTCATGGAGGGCTTGAAGCTCCTCTGCCATAGCATTTCTCCACTCACTGTAAAGATTGGCTTCTTGAAAACTTTGAGGTTCTCGAGCTTCATTAATGGCACTTAGGAATGTAGCAAAAGAAGATGAGACTTTGCTATAATCAATAACATCAGTCACGGGATACCTGGCAGTGTAGGTCACATAATCATGCAACTTGGATGGAAGTTTCCTCTCTCGTGCAGGATTGCGACGAACTGTAGGAGATTGAACTACAGGTATTTGAACAACATCATGGTTGGAAGGATCACTGGAGGGTGCAGTGTGAATCTCTGATGAGGAAGGGTTTTCATCTTCAAGATGTTCCACCGAGTGAAGGTTAACATCATCCGGCACATGATCACTAGGAGTGCTTGTTGCATCTTCTCCGTTTGGATATGGAAAAGGAAATAAGTCCATCAAATGCTCCCCCTGTCTAGAGTAATCCAGTGATTGTGAAAAGTAAGGAACATGTTCTTCAAATTTAACATCCCTTGAAACAACCATTTTTCTAGTTGTTGAATTATAGCACTTGTAACCTTTTTGGGTAGATGAATAACCTAGAAAGACACATTTGGCAGCCCTTGGGTCTAGCTTGTCACGATTTTGAGTTTGAATGTGAACAAAGCATGTACACCCAAAGACTCTCAAATAGGAAAAGTTGATCTTTCTATTTTTCAAGACCTCATAAGGTGATTTAAAATTCAACACTTTACTAGGCAATCTATTGATGAGATATGCCGCAGTAAGGACTCCTTGAGACCAAAACTTCTTAGGCACATTCATGTGAAACATAAGAGCTCTAGTCTTCTCAAGTAGATCTCTATTCTTCCTCTCGGCCACCCCATTTTGTTGAGGTGTTCCAACACAGCTTGTTTGGTGTAATATACCATGCGTGCTCAAGTAGTGTGACATGTTATGAGACATATATTCTGTGCCGTTATCTGATCGTAAAATATGAATTTTTGAAGCAAATTGGGTGGCCACAAGTCTATGAAAATCTTGAAAAACTTCCATCACTTCACTTTTAAATTTCAAAAGATACAACCAAGTAATCCTTGTGAAATCATCCACAAAAGTTACAAAATATTTGTATCCATCAAAAGACTCTATAGTTGGTCCCCAAACATCGGAATGCACAATTTCAAAAGGGTGACTAGCCCTAGACAAAGAGGAAGTAAATGGTAATCTAGTAAACTTAGAAAAATGACAAACATCACAAGGACTTGTAACTTTGCACATATTTGGGAACAAGGTGGATAGAACTTTTTCAGAAGGATGTGCTAGACGTTGGTGCCAAAGTTGTTGTTCTTGAGCTAAGCTTGAAGTGACTTGAAAAACCTTGGGAACTTGAATATGCTTGGAAAGATAGTAGAGACCATTTAAGAAAAATCCTTCACCAATCGTCTTCTTGGTGACTACATCCTGAAAGATCACATTTTTGGGAAAGAAAATGGCAAGACAATTTAATGAGTTTGTGATCTTGCTAACAGATAAAAGTTGAAAAGGGAATGAGGGAACATAAAGAGCCTCAGACTCGACATCACTTGAGATCAAATGTATTTTTCCTTTTCCCACAACCATAGCATTTTTTCCATTGGCAACTGACACTTGGGATGGAATAGAAAATTTTTTCAAATTTATGCAAGTTTGTAGACTTGTTAGTCATATGATCAGTGGCTCCAGAATCTATAATCCAATAATCATGCACATTACCAATGTTGAGAGCAGTTGAGAAGGAGTGTAAGATACCTAGGATGTCCCTTTGTACCACGCCTTCATTTCCAGCCAGAAAGCCAGCAAAATGTCCTAGTAGTGCAGTTTGATTGTTGTCACACTGATTTAGTGGTCCTTCACTATCTCCAAGACCTTGTTTCTTGTGAAGAAACATAGCAAACTCGTTGATCAGTGTAGCTGGATTAGTGGTGAACTTCAGTGCTCCATCAGAAGAAGTTGTGGCAACATGATTTGCCTTGTAAGAAGGGTTGTACGAGCCTTTCGAGACACCTTTGGTTTTAACTCTGGATAAAGAATCCAGCATCGGTCTCTTGAGTGCCCACCAGCATCACAATGGCTACATTTTAAGCCAGTTTTCTTTCCTTTGTAGCCTCTCTCCTCACCAAGTTTTTGGTTAGAGAAGTAAGCCCTAGCTTCTGGTATATTTGCCTTCATGTCCAAGGTCATGACTTTCCTTCGAACCTCTTCTCTTTG